TGTTTGGCTTAGTGTTATGTTAGAATCATTATTATACTCATACCTTTTGTTCTTTAATATTTTGAATTGTTTGTAGCTTTATTTTTTGCTTTTCATTTAAATGTTAATTTTGAAATTTTGTTGTATGCATTTGTCATTTTTATTTAATCTCTTTATTTTTAAAGTGTGTTTATATATACACACACACACTACCGTTCAAAAGTTTGGGATCAGAACGATTTTTAATGTTTTTAAAGGAGCTTCTTATGCTCATTAAATGTATGTTTATAACACAATTTATAATTTATATTCATGGACTTCTGTAAATAAACTACATGTTTATTTATTTTAGCTATTTTTAACATATTTCCAGTCTGTTGTTTAATAAGTTGATGTCGTATTAGAGATGATGTTGTGATGTTGACCGTTTTTTAATGTTATTGAAAGAAGTCTCTTATGCTCACCAATTCTGTATTTATTTGATTAAAAGTACAGTAAAAATAGTAATATTGAAAAAATTATTACAATTTAAAATAACTTTTCTTTTTTTAATATATTTAAAAATGTAATTTATTCCTGTGATGTTAAAGTTGAATAATTTTCAGCATCATTACTCCAGTCTTCAGTGTCACATCACATGATCCTTCAGAAATCATTCTAATATGCTGATTTGCTGCTCAAGAAACATTTCTTATTATCATCAGTGTTAATATTGTGTATGTACTTTGAAAACTGCACACACATAGGACTTGTTCTCCAGTGTTACTCCAGTAACTACAAAAGGACATTGATTCAGGAACATATGCTGCTTGTGTAAATTACATTATGCATGCATGGAAACACTCTTACACACAAAAGATGCACAACATGGGACTTTGAAATTGTACCTATCTGAGAGGTCTTCTGAAGGAGGCACTGACACATATGACCACTCAGATTGGATTTAGCGTAGCTTTTTCACGTTCTCACGCCACGTAAAACGTAAACACGTGAGACGTTTTTGTAGTGAACATGCTGAACGTCTTTGCAGAAACATGCTTATGCTGTTGCGAAGTGCAAGTCAAGCGGAAAAAGACAATATACTGCTAGTATACACAACTCTGAGTTTTGAAACCAGCGGAGACAGCAGCACGGAATGAAGTCGCACATTCCAGCTTCCTGTGTTTCTGCCGCTGCCTCATAAAACAAAATATAATCCAGCCGGGACGGTATAGTGCCGAATTCTGACCCCTGCCAGATTATTACCCCCTAGTATTGGTAGGTTTAGAGTTAGGTGTGGGGGTGGGGGTAGGATTAGGCAATCAGGTAGCGATTTCAACGAGGGGGGTAATCATTTGGCAGGGAGTCGAAAATGGGCACAACACCGGCAAAAAGTTGTCATGTTGTAAGACAACACCTGTATTGCAAACTGTATTGCTGTTGTTGTTTTTAGCGTAGGCATAACAACGCAACGGCATTGCCATAGAAACCAATGTAGATATTCAGTAAAACGAAAGAGCGCTACGGGACACACAAACCGGATTTGAATAGTTGCGAGATACACAGTGTGGACAGTCAGTCATCAAGATCGGATTCCAATTGGATATGCACAAAAAACGTCTCAGGTTACTTATGTAACCATGGTTCCCTGAGTAGGGAACGAGACACTGCGTCCTCTAGGGGTCGCTATGGGGAATGCCTCGTCATGACCCGTGTCTGAAGCATACATTGAATAAACACCAACTCGTTGGCCGGCGACAGCCATGACGTGAAATAACATCATCCTCCAGCGGCTCACTCTCGTCCACAGCCGACGATCGCGAGAGGGAAAACCTCTCTTCAAACTCATCGGCCAGATCCACATGCGATCCCCACAAGCTCATTCTCCTCCGTGCCTCAGCAGCGCAGACACGGGTCAAGACGAGGCGTTCCCCATAGCGACCCCTAGAGGACGCAGTTTGAAGTTCCCATGAAAGGGAATCGGATTTAGGCTGACAGTCTGAACAAGGCTATAGAGCCTGCAGTACATACAAACTCTTCAGTCACTGGTGGCATAGACTTAATATCTCCCCAGCTTTCACACAGCTTGTAGAGAAGCTGTCAAAATATCATTGAAACATTTTGTGATCACCGCAGAAAACAGGCAGTTGCATGCTAGAATACAGCGAAACAGCAGCCATTCTGTGAATGGAACAACTGGTTCTTATGGAAGAGGGTGACGTAATGTTGCATTCAAATATGGATGATGTCACTGCATCAAACCAGTATCAGCCAATCAGCTGTGTGCATGAAAAGAGAGAGCGAGACACCAGGTATAACAGACAAGTTTACGCTCAAGTCTTTCAAAATCCTCCTGCGCTGATGTTTTTAGAGGGATGAGTGTTGAAAACGAGACTTTTGAACTTGATGGACAAACCTGTAAAATAAACTGATTCAAACTAATGAAATTGTTAAAAACATTATAGGAAATAAACACTGTAACCAACACAGTTTGTCAAATTAAATATTTGTTAGATATTCAATGACTCGTTTAAAAGACACAAATTTGTGTTTGCTGAATAATTTGCTTTAAAAAAAAGACTGTAACCTAATGAAGATGGAAAATGGGAGCTCCTGTGCATCTGAGCTCAGGTTCTGGATTTTCAGTGATGCCAAAATAAAAGTCCTACTTTGGTCACTTGTGGACAGAAAAACTTAGAGGCTGATGGCGATAATCAAAAAAATTCTAATTAATTGGTCTAGGTTATATATTGGTCGATCACTAGTCTCTGTTGCTCTCATCCATGCAGTAACAATGGATGACATTAAAAGAGATGCATTGCACCATAAAAGTAGTTCTTATGACTAAAGTTTAAATCGTTATTTGAAGCCTGAAAGCTACATTACTCTTATTGACTAGAATGGCCAGTACAATCATTTTGTGCAACTATGAAAGTCATACAGATTTAAAACAACATGAATAAATGATGCAAATTTTCTTTTTTGTATGAACTACTCTTTTAAGTAGATTGGTCAATGAGCATTTTTTGTTGGCGAACAACATGACTATGATAGTCGAATACCTAGACTAGCACTAAACCAGCATAAACATGGAAACTCATGCTGGTCTAAGCTAGTCTTTTCAGCAGGGCTGTTTCGACAGTCTCTCTTTGTCTTTTCATCATCTATTTTACAGCTCTTTCATCCTCATGTATGTGATTCTCATCACAGTATATACCTGAGTGTGACATTAATGCCCAGCAAGCGTGTGAGAGATGACAGGATCAAATGAGAGAGAGAGAGAGAGAGAGAGAGAGAGAGAGGGTGGTTGGGTGAGAGACAGGTGGAGTCTATGGTTGCCAAGGCAACACCGCCCTTATATGGAAACTGGTGAAATCATATTGCAAAGGTCAGGCTGGAGAGAAAGAGAGAGCGAGAGAACAAGGAATAAAGAGAGTGAGAGAGAGAGAGAGTGACAGAGAAGGCAAAAAAAAAAACAGCGGAGAAAAAGGGGAAGGGTTTCAGAATATCCTCACCTCTGAAGGAAGACGCTTCACAGGAATTCCTCCTTCTTTATTTGCCTATCTGCAGCCGTGGTGGAATAATGGAAAGGGGGAGGCGAAGAGGAGGACAAGAAGAGAGGGAGAGAGGGGACAGATGAGTGCAACGGTGTGTAAACTGGCGGGAGGAGAGTTAATTATCCTATACCAGCCATTCCAGAGACTCCACCACGGAAGAGTTAAAGCAGCAGCCAGTAGCCAGCCGATGCTGTAATGAATTAAATAAAGAACCTGCCGTCACATGTGCCGGAGAGAGAAATAGAGAAAGAGAGGGCAGGAATAAGAGAATGAGTATTCTGCTCACCTGACAGCCAGCTGCTAAGACTGAAGGCATCTAGCCAGTGTGCATGTGTGTGTGTGTGTGTGTGTGTAGGGAGGACGCACACTCACTAGCGCACACGCATGCAGGTGCAGGTGAGATTCGCACTGACGGCTTCATTTGTTTGGTTATTGCGAGACTGGTTGACGTGGTGACTACGTGCAGATGGACACTACTTGGGTTTGATTTTTGCAGGTGTGTGTGACTAGTGTGAGTGTATCTGCACGTCAGTGAGAGGGAACATGTGTGACTGTATGTATTTGTATGCGTGTGTGCATGTGAGGGAAGGAAGAGCTGTTTTGCATGCAGGTCAGGTGGTGTATAGCTACGGTAGGCTCTGGATGCCGTCTTGCTGGGCTGACACGTGTTTCTCAGGTGGAGACTAATGCTGGTCACGGGATCAGATGCAATAGTATTCAGGCTTGATTGTTGTGTTTAGTGCGCATGAGAATGTGCTTTTGCTTTAATAAAGGTGGATTGGTTGTAATGCTCATTGCTCATGTATAGGTGCACATGGTGGCATTTGACTTGCAAACAAATGCCACTATGTTTCTGATGCATGCAGGAGGTGGATTTAAAGGGGACATGCTCTATTACAGTTTTAAAGTATTTCATTATGTACTCCTGATTAAAGCTAGTTAAGGATTATTGCAGGAATATAGTCGTAATTTGTATTTCAATGCCAGTTTTAACTCTCTTAGCATTTAACAGCAAGCAGTTTAGCTGGGTTTATTGCTGTACCTTTAAGAGTACCTTTTGTAGGGTTGAGGTTAGGTTTTGTAAATAACCTCTGATAGGTTAACTTCCATGTGCCAATGGAGTTCAGTGCCAATCACAACTGGTCAGGCCATTTACACCTGATAGCAACATGTTTTAAATGTGTTTCCCGTGACCACGTGTATTCAAGACTCTAATTCTGTGACTACACTGTAAAACTGATTTTTTGAAGTTATAAATAGAACAAAGAGTATTGGAGTACATTCTACAGTAAAATACTATTTCAGGTTTTTTGAGTGAAAATGGTTTCAACACCAATTTTTTTAGTGTATATAAGTCACTTTTTAAGCATCAGTGCTTGTTGATAAAATGGTACAATATTATCAGATTTACTTTTTTAATTTCACCACAAGCATTATGCTTTGAGCAGAATTTTCAGTGATTTTAGTCAAGTAACTGTATTAACTGTACTTTGGATGTGCTTTTTTTTCGTGTGATCTGTGTTGCTGCTTGTTGATGTCAGGCAAATTCTGCAAAGATTTCGCCCTTATTTTATGTAACTGTCAAAATAAACTTACTTTAGGGCAATGAGTGATTGGCAGGTGAGATTGATGGATTAGCATTTTCAGCTGCTTCCAAATGTGGTTTGAGTGATTGAATCACAAAACGATTTGAACCCCTTTTATAGCTATATTTATTGTTGTCTATATGAAATGAATGTTAGTACCAGGTGTAAACAGAGTTTTAGTCTCCTAAATGGCCTGGGTGATTTGGGAAGGGAGCTTTGCATTCTGAAAGAAATCTGTTTTACATGATTTATCTCTTTTTTAAATGTTTCCATTCAGATGCGCCTGTTTCATTTATTAACCCTCAAACATGCTGTTAATTTTCTGCTGGCAAAAGCAGCCGCTGCTTAGACAGCCATTTAGAGTTGTTTCTAAGCAACTGAGGATGCTGGCCTCATACTGCTCCATGGAATTCTGCTTGTTATGGGAAAATAACATCACCAAGCCACAGCTCACCGGCCCTGCAGTGCATAAATCCATAAGACGCTGAAGTGGCCCCTCAATTATGATCCAATATGATGGCGTCGGTAGTTGTGTTATTTCAGTTATTTATCAAAAGCTATGTCAAAGAGAGAAATTTAGGGCTGTCACATTGAAATGATTTAGGAGACTTTTCATTGCTGTGAATTTTTCACTTCCTTTGTGGTTTGGCCGGAGCCCACAGCACAAATTGAAATGGCCATGAGTGTGTGTGTGTGTGTGTGTGTTTCTAACTTAGCCATACTTTTCAGACAAATTTGCTGAGATATGTTGCTAGGAGTTTGCAAAAACGGACAAAATCTCATTTTGGGGGACGTCGTTAAAAGCATATGTGGTTCATAAATAAATAAATATATATAAAAATATACTTTTATATATTTACTTTTTTATTTAATTTTATTTACAGTATTTACTTTTTTGTAAATTGTATTAGTACTTTTTAGAGAAATTTATTCGCATCATTTAATTGTATTTTTTTTTTCCCAAATATGACATTATTAACTATAAAAAGAAAGACAGTAAAAATATAAATATTTAATTGATATAATTGATATAATTAAAATATATATATATAAAGTTGAAGGTTTTCATTTACTGTGGATGTAATGAGAGAAAGTTTCTAAAAACATTTGCGGAGTTGTTGTTTTTTTTTGCCTTGTATCCATGCTGATAGGTGTCAGTTTAAAGTCCACTTTTTTTATTGGCCAATGAATCCTGAAAATTAAATTACTTAAATTACTTAATGCACCTTTAATTTACATATACATTTTAGGTGAAAGTTTGAGTGTGCCTGTTGAATTCCTTTCATGCTTCAGACAATCATGTCCCACGTAATATGAGAATGCTTTGGTTTGAAAATGCTGCTGGGAGACATTTAATATTACGTCCTTGAGCAGGCACTTAAATCTCAAAGCTGTTCCAAAGTACGGTTTATCCCCCTGGATTGACCATCAACTGCACACAAGGCTTAGCTTTAGGCAGAAATTCAGTACCAGAACAGGCTTGACTTTAGGCTGAAGTTCATTACCAGTAAACACCTCCTGGGAACAAAGCAATGGGTCCATCTGCTGCTCAGTAGTACCTGACATCAGGTAACCCAGAATCAATCCCTGCAGGTGAGGCCCTTCCCCCTATATCTGACCCATTTCTGTCTGGATGGGCAGATTCAATCATTAAAACAGCCAAGAAGCAGAAACCAGTTAAACCTGCTTTGTAACAGAATAAAAACAGGATTATCTGAGAAGGGTTGGCCAGTTTTTTTTCCAGATATCAGCAACACAGGAACACTGACCAACACTGAAATATAGATATTATATGATATAGGTATATGAGGTATTTTCTTTTTGGAGAGACCCTGATGCAATGAGTGTATGCTGATGTCTTAAACTCAACTTTGGGGTGTTTGTGTGTATTCAATATAAATAAAGTACTACTGTGCAAACTCGTGCTGCTTGTATTTTTCATAGTAGGGCATTGCCAGGATGAGCGGCACGAAGTTGAATGCAGATGATTGAGTACACAGAATATTATTTTAGAATAGAAATATAATGCTAAAGTACTGCTATATGAGCGGTGAGCTATTATACACCATTGACATCAACATCTTATTTCCAGGGAGTTCAGCAACATTTTTGGCCTTGTGTAGAAGGAAATATTTAGTTGACGTTTTTTGCTATAATATGTTTTCCTCTCTAAATGTATGTTTGTACACGCACACACTTTTAATCAGCTAACTATGTAGTCTAGACTTGGCCATGAAATATTCAAAGGTCTTGATTGATCAGGGTTGGGTTCACCAAATTAGCAGCAGTTTTATTCAAAGAATATATGGGAACTCGGGGCACTTTAGGCCCTGTGGTCTTAATGAACTGAATAAAGAAAATAAACCACTTTATTAACCACACTTTTCGCCTTCACTAGTTTATTTAACTTGTCTTCTAATAATGTAATGTCTGTCTAGTAATACAGTGGACATACATACATGACAGAAGAATTATTTTTAAAAATATAATTTCCACCACAGTGTCATTTCCATCACATCTCAAATCATTCTATGGTGCAAATGACAGTAATTTAAATTACTTCTCTCTCTCTCTCTCTCTCTCTCTCTCTCTCCCTCCCTCCCTCCCTCCCTCCCTCCCTCTTTAAATACAGTTGCAACAAAAGAGTTACAGAGAAAGTAAAGAAAGTTACCAAGAAACAAAGACAACAATATCAGACTTTCCGCATGTCTTTGACTCTCCGTAAAAGTGAAATTCACAGATGAAATGGGAGAGATAGGTGAGAGCACTTCAGACAGCTGACCAATTTCAGTATGATTGATAGATCTGGGCATCAGGCCAAGCATAGACACAGAGGGGATCTTTTTAATTAATTTTTTTCTCATTTGCTGCAATCTTGTCAGTTAGTCAGTCAGCCAGGGCAGCTGATGGACGGATGAGAGAAAGCCTTCATGCAGACTCATTTAGAGGGCCAGCCCATTCAGAACAGCTCCTTATGATGACCAGACTGGAGGAATTATGTGCCACTGTGTCACCATGTGCTTTAATGCTATCTTTACTCTGCAAATTGCTGCATATGACTCAGCATATGTGGTGTAAAAAGTCTGTTTATTGCTGCTTATACACTACCAACAGTTTTCGGCTCAGTACGTTTTTTAATTGTATGTAATGTAAACTGACCAAAAGTGAGAGTAAAAACATTTATAAGATAAGATTTTTATTTCAAAGTAATGCTGTTTTTGAACTTTCATCAAAGTATTCTGAAAAAAAAAATGCATCACAATTTCCACAAAAATATTAAGCAGCACAGCTGTTTCTTGAAAATGCTGAAAAATTCAGCTTTGCCATAACAGGAGTAAATTCAAAGGAGTAAATTACATTTTAAAATAATGAAGTTCATATTTAAGTAATATTTCACAATATTACTGTTTTATTGCATTTTTGATCAAATAAATTGAGCCTTGATGAGCATAAGAGATGACTTTAAAAACATTTAAAAATACTTTGGCCCTTAATTTTGAATTAGTGGTACAGTATAAATGCATATTGCAGTAATGTTTATGTTTTAATATGACTTATGAATATAGAAATATGAAATGGTGAATGGAAATATGAAGCTATAATTAGAGAATAAATAATAAAAGCGGTAATTAGAGCAGCTCTACCTTGCATGTGTAAAAATGCCTTACGTTATGCAATATATTAGTTATAGTTATTTTGCTTACAATTGCTTATTATAAAGAGTTGAAGTGAACGTGAGTATGTCCAAAATTCTCAAAAATTCTGACAAATATCCTCACTGAGATGTGTTCTCTCTCTTTCTGTCTCTATTCGTATTTTCCTTCACATTCTTTTATCACAAAAGATGTCAAATGGTTGCAGAGGGTGACTGTGTATGAGGTGTCACCACACACAGAGATAAATGTCTAAGTAACGCTCTCTCTCTCTTTTCTCTCTCTTCCCATAGCAACAGCCAAACTACTGGAGCTTTAAGGTCAGTGCTTTGATTACTTCTATGTGTGTTCTTATATCAAAAACGTGTTCTTTTGATACCTGTTTGTGTTCTTATTTTATATGTATGTGGTTTTTTTTTTATATCGGTTGTAGGCCCACTTTGAATCCGCACCAAGTTTTATACAACTCACATCCCAAAAATCAACAAAGAAATGCAAAAAATGACAGCAGATTCTGTCTGGGCCAAGTAACAGGGACACAATTGTAGCCAAAATTGAGATAAATCTGACAAAAAACCCTTTGCTGGCTCACATGGACATCCTTAAGTGTTTAAAATGATGAGTCTGTAGAAATTACAGTGAGCATCATATAAAACAGTTGAAGTCTATGGTGTTGAATAGGTTTGTATCATGTGTCAGGTGTGTTAAAGTCATTGATTTGTGGGCCATGCAGGTCTGAGGCTGATTTGTTATGATCTGCTTCACCGGTTTTTATCTTCTAAATCTCATTCCCCTGTTCTTTCTTTCTATCTCCATCTATCTCTCTTTTCCTCGCTTCCATTTTCTTACACAACTGCCCATAGAACCCATAAAAGTCTTACAGCTTAAGTCAACTTAATAGAACTGAACACAGAACTGAGTCTCTATAGATGTTTTTAAAAACGAAACTTCTTTTAAGTTGTCTCAGCATCTTAAAAACCTAGGGAATAATACTCTACGAAAAAATAAAATAATCGGAAAGCCACAACAGTGAGTATGCTGATAGGATGTTGGTTCAGAAACTTTATAGGCCTACGTATAGTATTCCATCAAATCCCTCATTATTGAACCTGTACTCTATTGTAAATGATATTTATTCTATCAGGGATAAAATGTCTATTAGATGTATTAGAGATGTTGGAGGGTGTGTATAATTGTACAAGGACACAGGAAATGGGTTCAGGCTGTGATAAACAGTGTCCTTATTGTGAGACTCAGTAATCGGATCCTCCTGATTCTGTTCATTCATATTTACTCACGTTACACTCCTCCTGTCAACGGACACTCACTTATTCTCTTTGTCTATCATTAATGTCATGTTTGTTTGTTTGTTTGTTTGTTTGTTTGTTTGTTTTTTTATTTGACTATCCAGATAATAAATAACATGCAGACAGCATGTTTGAGTACATGTCGACATTGATTTGGGACTACTGAGATCTTGCTGTGATTTTCTTCCAGAGTCTGTCGTTGTTGGGCATCTCAGTTGGGTTTTTTAATCATCACATTATTTGTTTCACTCTAGACTTTCTAGACTAATGGACTCCCTCTGACCTGACCCTTCAAATCCCTCGTAACATGTTCACCTCAAACTCTGTCGTTTATCCAATACTTAATCCTTACACTCTCTTGTCTGTTAGTGTCTTCAGAATTATGGACCTTCTCTTCTCTTCTCTTCTCTCCTCTCCTCTCCTCTCCTCTCCTCTCCTCTCCTCTTTCCTCTCTTCTCTTCTCTTCTCTTCTGATGTTTGCGTGTTCTTGTCACGGTAAGATGAATTGTCAGGTGCTTTCAGAACATTTTTTTTCTTTAGTTGCAGATTCTGAGCCCCCAACAGTTGCCTGTTAAAAGCAAACGTCTCCCCTGGCTGGTTACGCCACATAAAATTAGCCTCTCTGCAAATTACTGTCAGAGTTGTGATTTGTTGGTTCTCTCATTCTCGCTGCCTTGTTCTTTGCTTTGATAACTTCTTCGTATCTAGAGGTAAAATGTGTTTTGATGTCCAAGTGCTGGTTCATTAGCATTTTTCTGTTGTTCCCTTCTTTAGCATATGTTTTAAATTGTTAGAGCTAGCCATATGCTAACAGTGAAGAGAGGGCGCAGAGCTCGTCATTGACAGTGTTGGGGAGTAGCTAAGTTCAAGTAGTGGTGCTACAAAAACATTCAGTAGCTTGACAATACCTCAGTTGTGTTGCAATTGTTCTGGCTTTTCAAGTAACTACTGTTCAGGTAGCTCTTGGAAGTCTGATGCATTAGTTAAAACGTTTTAGATTTACTCGATTCTAAATTCATCACTTTTTCATCACTGAAATGTTTTCCTTTTGTAGAAGTGAACATGTTTTTTTGTGTGAAATATTTAGCTAAATTCTGCTGCTTATCACAGTGATTTTTATAATTAGAGTGTTTTTTTTAATTTTTTATTAGTTGTTGTTTTTTGCTGTAAATCCGTGTCTACCAGTTGTTGTGTTGGCGTCAGGGTAAATATTTCTCAGATGCAACTTAGGCTGATTGGGAAAACGTGGCTGGGGTGACATTTCTGTCAAGTGCACTTCTTGCACATTTCGCAACACTTTCAAAATGAAATGTCCAGGGGTCTCATTTATAAACGTTGTGTACGCACAAAATGGGCATAGAAATTGCATACACAATTTTCCACGCACATATCGGGATTTATAAAAAATAAACTTGCCGTGAATATGTACGCACCGTATGGACATTCTAGACCATGCGTACGCACTCTTTTTCCTGGAGTGAGAAAAGTAATGAAGTAAACAACGATTTTAAAATCTGTTTTCATTTCAATATACACATTTACATTAAATATTCCACTCTCATTAATGGAGATAAGCACTGAAATTACATAAAGTCATTACGCAGAAGTTAAACAAAAATTATATGAATTTAGACATATTTAGTGGATGCGCTAGATCAGTTTTCCTGTGGTATGTTATGTTTTAATGACAGCGAGGAGGGCTATAGGTGCACAATAATTTATCTTTAAACTAAACTGCAGATCTCATGTTATGAGAAAATATTTTTAGTGAGAACAATGATCATTGATGCGCACTTTATTGTGGCGGACACTGCTGGATTCGGTGGAACGGTCTATTGTCCGGTTTGAATAGGACCAATGATAATAGCTTACTGTACAACCGCAGCTGCACCGAAGTGTTGATGTCGTGTGAAGGCATCTCCACAACATTATGAAAAATACCACTGTATTTGAAGGATACAACTTGAAGAAAATGGTAATTTGCATGTTTTCTTTTTAAAATAGGCTACTTTGTCAGTGACGCACAGAGTCAGACAATTCTATTTACACTGAAATAAATATAGGCTAAAAATAGCTAAAAGATGTTCACCTTATCAGCAAAATTGCATAAATTGAATTTGATTTGAATTGTTTCAAACAATTGAAATACTATTTAGCAAATGGAAAATAATGAGATCAACTCTATTCTACAATATTTATCTGAGAACTATTTTAAACAGTTTTGTTTTTATGGATTTTGATATATTTATGCTAAAACATAAGGATACTGGATGCTTTTTAGCAATAAAAATGAATGTGTATGGCACAAATGGCATTTATAGTCCGGATCTCATATTTCCTTAATGTGTTGTACTTTTAACGGTGTTAAACATGGTGTCACGTGGATGGGAATATGCATGGAAATGATATGCAGATGGGGTTATGCATAGTAAAACTAGGCGTTGTAAGCTCCATATATGGTGATTTTGGGGAGGAGTCGGAGTCCAGATGCACGTACGCACAATCTTCCCCTGACTGGGATTTATAAAGGGATTTTTGTGCAGGTTCTGGGATACGCATGGTTTTATAAATCTGAAAACTTTTGTGTGTACGCAAAATCTAGCTTTTGTGCATACGTACACTTTTAGGATGAAATCTACGGAGAGTTTTATAAATGAGACCCCAGTTCAGTTCAGTTTCATCCAGAACTAATATGGGTGAATGCAGCAACATCTTATTAAGTTGGTTTTTGTAGAATGCAGCAGATTTTAAAATGAAATGACAAGTGAGTGGTGCTAAAGGTTAATGCTCTGTCACCTTTGAAAGTAGCTTTTACTAAACCCTACCCTAAACCTAACTTCAAGTGTTAACACAAGCAAATGTGACATAAAAACATATTTGATGAAGCAACCATGCTACGTTTTGCTTGCTTCTACAAGCCTTTGGGATCTTTTATCATTACTCATACCTGAGCTCTCCCCATCAAAAGTACAGTGCTGTACCAGCTGAGCTACTGAGCAAGTTTACTATATCAGAAAAGCCATACATTTAAATCTGGTTCAGCAAAATGTTAGTTTACAAATCATGCCCTTTGATAAGTGTTCTGAGATCATAACATGTATTATGCAAGAAAAATAAGTCTTTATTAACTGATAATCTGCCCTGTAATCATATTTTGTGTGAAAAGTTTTTGGTGATTTACTGCCACTAGTGGCAATTTCAGCTGGAAACTGCAGTGAATGGTATAGTATAGGTATGTGTTTGAAGTTCTGCAAAAATGTGGGTAGAGGCACGTTTCTCCAATGAGCCTTGGTTGGATAAATATAGTTTTAACTGGCTGATTTATTTTTATTTTTTTGTAATCTGTGAAATAAGAAATAATAATATTGTTTATTTACGTAGTTTCAATATAATTAGGTATTTTCCAAAGAGTAACTTAAGTACTGTAGCCTGTCAAACTACAATTTAAAGTAGCTTCTCCAAAAACAGTCATTACCAAATTCACCCCGTCGAGTGAGCTTCAAGGTATCCTAAAAATCATGTGCCACAAAAACAAAGACATTCACCGGACACATGTCGCACTGCCTGGATATCCAGTTTAGCATTATTTTTATGTTTTTGTTCAACTGTGTCACCTGTTATCTTGTTTTGGGAGATCCTCTATCAGACAGTAAAGGTGTGCTGAACTAATCCATTGTCTCTTCCTCTTATCATTTAAGTCTTCATCATTGCTATTAGTCCCCAACGATAAGTGCAGAGAATGCCGCCATTTTATGACCACCTACCAGCTTACCATTTCCCTGCTTTCTCTGCCTCTCTCAGCATTGGACTGAATGGGCCACAATCTACTGCAATTTGTTGGAGCAATTTCTGCTGTGCCTTCAGCCTGTCTCTAACAATAGCACGAGAGAGAGAAAGATTATTCTCAAGAGCAATTATTTTCTTTCCTTTTCTCTCTCTCCATCTCATTTCTTTTGCTTCTCTGTCTGTCTCTTTGTAATAGCTAATACTGTTATTCTAATAAAATTGTGCAC